TTATGTGTAGGTATGTTTCTTAAAGATGTCAGACTTATAGGTGACTTTGAAGAGTGTCAAGTATTTGCATTTTTTATAAAATGCCACTTTATTGAGGTATAATTTACATACAATAAAATTTGCCCATTCAGGTATAAAATTAAAACAGTTTAGGGGTTAGAGAGATGACTCAAAGGTTAAAAGCACTGGCTGCTCTTATGGAGGACCTGGATTTGGTTCCCAGCACTCACATGGGGTGGGAACACCCACATGGGGCTAACAACAGTCCTTAACTTCAGTTCCAGGGGATCCGATGCCCTCTTCTGAACTCCATGGGCATTGCACGACACGGGTGCACTTACATACATACAGACAAAACACTTATACATATAAAATAAAAAAAATAAACTGTAATAGTGGGCCATAAGACCCAGAAGAAGAATGTCTTAATGATAGGGGCTAGAGGAACAGGGAAGTGATCAGAGTACATTAATAATAGCTGTTTTGTGAACTTTTCCTAGGGAGATACGAACAAATGTCTACTCGTTGAAGATAGAACACTAATAACAGACCAAAATAACAATTCTAGTCAAGTCTAGCTTGGTGAACCAGTTAGTTTGTCAGGCTTGCTTACAGGAGCTTGAATGACCTTCCAGACCACCTCTGTTACTGAAAAGTTTCACTCCAGCATGGATGACAACTTCCCCATAGCATTGTAGATGGAGTTAACCTCAGTTAAGCTTCTGCCTACTATATATTAGAGTCTCCGAAGACCAAGTGCAGCCAAGGCAGCTTGGGGAGGGGCACAGGAGCTAGTGACTGAAATCCTAGGTGTGGCCCTCCCTATACCCTCCTATGAGGGAACACCAGTAAACACTTTCTTTTTTTATTTTTTAATTAATTAACTTATTAATTTATTATTTATTTACGAGACAGGGTTCCCCTGTAGCCCCAACTGGCCTGGAACTTGCTATGTAGAGCAGGCTGGCCTCAAACTCACAGAGATCTGCCTGCCTCTGCATCCTGAGTGCTGGGATTAAAGGCACATGCCACCATGCCCAGCCTACCCATTCTTTTTTTTATAAAAAAATTATTTTTATTTTGTGTATATGAATGTATTGCCTGCATGTATGTAATTGCATTAGTGCCCTATCTTCAATGAGTAGACATTTGTTTGTATCTCCCTAGGAAAAGTTCACAAAACAGTTAGCTATTATTATTAATGCCCTCAGAGATCAGAAGAGGGTGTCAGATCCCCTGGAACTGGACTTACAGACAGTTGTTTGCTGCCATGTCCTTTGCCAGTGCTCTTTACCACTGAGCCATCTCTCCAACCCCAGTAAACCCATTCTTGAGGGTCTCTTGTGGATGATCACAGCTGCTCTGACTAAGATGGTAATGTCTATTATGCTCAGAGAACAGTGTTCCACAACACCAACACTACCCAAGTGCTTCCTCTGTCCCAGGCAGATTTCAAGGACTTTACTTATGTTTACTTATGAGAAACCTACAAATTGAGGGTAGGGTACCTTGACTCAGTTACACAGCTAGTAAATGGCAGATCTGGAATTTGGATGAGGTAGTCTGACCCAGTCCCTCCTGAAAATGTTTCCTATAGAAAAGACTCCAGAAAGAGTGACAGTTTGCAGTTAGTGTGGCAGAAGCATGATTAGTAGACCTGCGTGGTTTTCTGTTGTGGGTAAAAGTGAAGAAAGTAACATGGTTGAGGATGAGTGTGTCCAACTCTTGTGTAAAAAGGTGGAGTGGCAAAGGATGAGATACAAGAACCAGGCCTGGACATTGAAGGAGACATTGAAGGAGAGGCTGATCCTTTGAAGGAATTTGGGATCTGTGATTTAATTTGTAGAGTTACACCACAGCACCACTTAGCCTTATTTATTTCTATATTGAGATAGTCTCACCAAATGACCTAGGCAGGCCTTAAACTTATGATCCTTCTGCCTCAGACTTCAAATAGTAAATATAGTTTTGTTTTAAATCTTTTTATTGTAAAGTGTGTCACACAGAAACGTACATAAGGGCTTGGGGTGTGAATCATGGTAGCGGGCTTTGCTTTTGCTAGCATGCAGGAGGTCCTGTGTTTAATCACCCTCCTACCCAGTATGTAAATAATGCAAATGTAAAACTTAGTGAATTACTTTAAAATAATCACTTTTGAGATCAGAGAATAGGACCCTGCAGTGACCAGCAGCTGCTTTGTACCCTTTGCTAGCCACAGTTTTTCCCTCCCAGCCAAAGGTAGCTGTTTTTTTCCTGGTTTATTTTCCTTTAATCAGTTGTATATTTTTTATTGGATTTGAGCACATGGAGCCATATGCTATGCATTCCTTTGTATCTAGTCATTGTGCTTAGAAGATTCATTCATTTTGAGCCTGCTCCTTCACATTCATGCTGTTTGGTTGCCCATTTTATGAACAGTCCACAATGTATTTACTATTATTCTGTTGGGAGCATTTGGGATGGTCACAGCTGAAAGTGTCAAAGGACAAAAATCACATCAATTTAGCATAAAGATGCTAATTAACTTTATTTTATTTTACGTTTTTATTTTCCTTTGGTATTATTGGAATGTAGCCAGGGGCTTCCTGCATGAGACCTACCACACCCTCCCTACTACTGAGCTACCCCCAATCCATATTCTTTTTAAAATAATTAATGCTCTTTATGACCTATTTTAGAATTCCTTTTCCTACCCCAAAGTTATAAAAGCATCATTCTATAATACCTTCTGAAAACTGTTATTTACATTTCACATGTAGGCATGTAGCTCATTTGGAATTGGTTTTTATGTATGTTAATTCTTAACTGATTTATTAGTACATCTCTGCCTTCAAGGTTTTTTTATGCTTTATTCAGATTTTTCTGTCTTTGGCAAGGCAGTTGGTCTGAATCATCTAGTTTATCATTCCCAGAATCAGAAATATCTTTAGAAGTTTTGGTTTCATTTTGACATAAAAATGATCTGTTCTGCGAGACCCTGGGCTCAATCCCCAGCACATGCACAAAATTTGTTCTGTCTTGTTAAGGAGCCTCAGTGAATATGTTTACTGAAAAAAATTTAAAAGGCCTGCAAAATTATATTTTATAGGTTCATGTCAATTTCTGTTTTTTTTAAGTAAGGGATAAAAAGCTTCTGTTTCTTCAGAGCTTTCTCAGGTTTAAAGTTTTGTCAGCAGAAAACCTGCTATACTAAGTATCCATGAATACATACCACAGAATAGTTTCAGAACACTAATCATAGTAAAAATCAAAATACATACTGTCAAACATTGACTTGATAATAAAGCAATTTAACCATGGCAGTGGCCACCCCCCTTTTTCTGTTTTCTAGAAATTTAAACCCCTCTTTTGGCCAATGAGGGACTATATGCAAACCACATCCATAATGCTTCTAGTTTGTACCACAAAATATGAAGAAAATGTTTTCAGCTGATGGCAGCTAGATCCATGACATATGATGCTCCAGGAACTGTTTTTATAGCATGCAAGATGCACAGGGACAAAATAGTAGACTCACATGATTGTTGGCAAGAAAAAACTGGCTATGTGGCTGGTGTTAAATTTGCTTTTGAAGACAGCCAGATCATGAAAGTCTGAAGATTTCAAGGCTGCAGCAGGGAGAGAATTTTGCAGTTAGTAAACACAGCCTCAGGAAGCCATGGCAAGGCAGTGGCTAGTAAGCCTTTTTTCAGCTTCTAACAGTAGAGCAGGGGTGGCCTTCAGTGAATGTTGCTGGTGGCAGTGAAGGCTCCCTAAAAGCAGAGAGGCTGCTATGCCAAAGACTTCCTTGCTGGCCCATCTCACTGTCAGCCTGATCCTGCCTTGCCCTGATTTCTTGGACTGTGAAATTAACCAGGGAGTGAATTAGCTTTGTTGTAGATGAGCTGTTAGGAAAAACTGGTGTGTTCTTGAAAGTTAGGACACCTCAATCATACACTTCTTCCTTAGTCAGCTCTTGCTTAGACCATGTTCTTTACCTTTTCCGGCTTTTACTTCTTAAGCCAAACTTCAGAGAAACTTGCCAAGTGCAAGACAGGGGCACATTTCTCATATCTTGAATCTTTTGAAATAATGGCAATTACATTTTGAAAACGTGATGGCTTGTTACTGGGACCTCTTCCTTTTTATTTTTTATTTTTTGTGAGACAGGGTCTCACTATGTAGACCAGGCTGGCCTCAGTTTCACAGAGGTCCTCCTGCCTCTGCCTCTTGAGTGCTGGGATTAAAGGTAGACACCACTAAACCCATCTTGTCATTGGTAGCTTTTAAGTAAACTAACAAATACTTAAATATTTCTTAGTTTAACTGTTTAATATGGTAAATAATAATAATTTTAACCAACATAAAGCACTTTGGAGTCTCCAATAATTTTTATAAGAGAAATGGGATCCTGGGATGAATAGGTTTGAGAACCACTGTTCTAAAGTTTACCAATTTCAGTTGGAATTACAGTTTCTCTTTCTATAGGAGGTTGAAATTGCCCAATCATTTCTGTGCAATAACTTCTTTGTTATATAGCTTAGTGCTTCATTTTTGTTATGTATAATATAGATGACAGGTTATGTATTAGGTGAAGTTTCTTCGAGACTTTCAGGGTGTATTGTGCCCAGCACAGCATAACCAGTTATGATTATCCATGTTATTGTTATTGTCCATAATGTCAAATTCACTGTTTTATCTAAGAAGCAATATACATTCAAAAACTTGGGAAAAGGCTGGGCATGGTGGTTTGAGCCTTTAATCTCAGCACTTGGGAGGCAGAGGCGGGCGGATCTCTGTGAAGTCTGCATAGTGAGTTCCAGGCCAGCTGGGGCTACAGGGAGACCTGTCTCAAAAAGACCAAAAAGAAAAAAAAAAATCTTGGGAACAGTTGGGCATGGTGGTGCACACTTATAATCCAAGTACTTCAGTGGCTAAGACAGGAGCATCAGCATGAGTTCAAGGCCAGCCTGGGCTGTGTGAGTCCTGCCTTTCAAATAACAAAAACAAAACAAAGGGGTATCATTTCTCAACCTTTTGGCTAAGAACAAGTATAGCATCTGTTCTAATCTGGTATTAAACAGATACTGTCCTCTATCCCAGGACAATAAATGGATTTTTGAAACTAGGAGATGGATTAGGTGCTTGCTTCATCCACCCCACACATTGACCTGGTATTGCAGTACCTTCAGGACCAGAGCATGCCCTGGGGACAGGGGTGGGGGAACTCGGTTTGTACAGTGCTTGCTTAGCAAAGCCCTGGGTTAGCTGTTCAGTATCACATACACCAGGTCTGGTAGTACATGCCTGTGATCTCAACATCTGAGAAGCAGAGGCATGAGAATTATTGTGACTTCAAGGCCAACCTGGTCTACATAGCAATACCCTGTCTCAGAAAGCAGAACAGCAGCAGCAGCAACAACAAAACCCCCAAATAAACAAATTCTGTACACCGTGTGGAAGGAGAGTAAAGGTTTTTCTTCACTTATCAATACATGGGTTACAAAAGCGTTCTTACTGAGCCAGGCATGGAGGTGGACACCTATAATCTCAGCATTTGGGAAGCTCAGGCAAGAAGATTGCAAATTCCAGAGCAGCCTTGTCTACACAGCATGAGGTCATCTTAGGCTACATAATGAGACTCTTTCCCAAAACCAAAAATAAAAAAAATCAAGTGATGCTGAGTGATAGCTCTGTGTTAAAAGCACTGATTGCTCTTGCAGAGGACCCAGGTTCAGTTCCCAGCACTCATATGATGCAAGCTGTCCTTAGTCCACATAACCATACTTAACTCTAGTTCCAGGGGATCCAGTGCCCTCTTCTGGCCTCTGGGAACTGGGCACGCACATAGTGCACTTACATAGATGCAGGAAAAACACTCCTACACATAAAATAAAAATAAAATATTTTTAAAAAAGAAGTGTGTCAGGACTTGAGGGGATGGTTCAGTTGGTAAAGTGCTTGCAAGAGGACCTGAGTTTGATCCCTAGAATCTATGTAAAAAGGTAATGTGCTTGTAATACCAGTACTGGGGAGTAGAAAATAGGAAGATCCTTGGAGCTCCCTAGCCAGCCAATCTGGTCTAATTGATGAGCTCCAGGACATTGAAAGTACCTGTCTCAAGGGTGGTAGACAGCAAGCGAGCCTGAAGATTATACCCAAGGTTGTCCTCTGACCTCCACAGATATGCATTCAGGTACACACACACGCCACACATAAATAAGTGTTCCTATGTGACCAGCATTTATAGTGAAACCTGACTACAGGCTCTTGCTCTGAAAACCTGCCTTGCACAGTATGCTGTGCTTTGCAAGCATTCAGAAAAGCTGGTTGAGTTGAATTGCTGTTCTTACCTACAGTCATTATTCCTCACCTTTGCTGCCTCTACCTCTAAGGGACTTGCAGTTCCTTGTGTTCAGGTTTTCAGAAGGCAGTGGTCTTTTCTTAAGCTGTTTCTTTAAAAGAACTGACAAATTGTCTTAGGATCAGGCTGGAGGGTATAACTGAGTTAAGCAAACTGGACTAGTAACCCAAGGTGGGATACCTGTCTTTCTCATCATTTCTGCTTTAGTTAGACTGGTTTCTTAGGCAACTTTCTTTGATTTCTAAGATAGGAGAATAAATTTGATGCTTCAAAGTCAGGGTTCTGCCAAACCAGTTCCAAAGCCTCATTCACTGTTAAAAGTCCCATGCGGATAGCATGATGCCTTGGTATACTGTACTTCTGAGATGGGTGGGTTGAATCCTTATGTGAGTAAACTCAGGATATTGTATTAAGTGGATTTTATTTTTTCCTAAAAAATGTATGTGCTTATCCCACAGGGTTTGTTGAAAATGTTGTTTGGGCTAGCACTATATTGAACGATACTGATACAGGAGTAAATGACATGGAGAAGCGTCCCTTGGGTAGCTTATGACCCCAGTAGCATAACATACACATAAATAAGCCTATGGAAATATGCAGCATTTGCAGTTGCTGACTCAGAGGTAGGCCCTTTCCAGATTGCTTGTAAGTTGAGAGTTGTCAAAGACTTCACAGAGAAGATTGCCTAAGCCTATATCTAACTGAAAATTGAGAAGTTTGGCCTGTGGATGCTTCCAAGAGGGAATAGCTTGTACATAGGCACAAGAAGCTGTGGGTGCCCCTAGGAAATAAAAACAGTATGACTTTGTAAGATGAAGCCAGCAAGGTGAGCAGGTACTGGGTCTTGTGTAGTATATAGTAGAAATTGTATTTTATTAGTCAAAATTTGTACTTTCTGAAGATTATTCTAATGGTGGTGGTAGGTGGGTATTGAAGATAAGAAAACCAGTTTTTACTTATTTTTAAATATTTTATTATTTTTTACTTATATGTATGAATGTATTGCCTGCATGTGTATAAGTGCACCCATGTTGTGTTGTGCAATGCCCGTGGAGGTCAGAAGAGGGCATTGGATCCCCTGGAACTGGAGTTACAGATGATTGTTAGTTGCCATTTGGGTGCTGGGAACCGAACCTGGGTCCTCTGTAAGAGCAGCCAGTGCTCTTAACCACTGAACCATCTCTCCAGCCCCAGAAAACCAATTAAAAAAGAAAAAGACTAAAACTAGCAAAAACAGAGGCAATGGCAGTAGATGGAGGCAAGAAAAAGCATCCTAGAATAATTGGAGGTTAGAATTGGCAGAGTTTATTAAGAGGAAGAAGCTGATTTCTGATTTGAGTGGGACAACAGCATTCTGAGTGAGGCACAGGCTGCGTAGCAAGTGTGTTGAGTTTTAAGGGACCTGTGGCATGGCAGTAGGCAATTACATAGCCAGTTTTGGAGGTTGGTAAGGAAGGTCTGCACTAGAGGGAGTTGGGGATCATCAACAAAGAGATGGTTGCATATTTGAGAAAGGATAAGGACATTGAGCCCCAAAACACAAACTCCTTTTTCAGAGCTAGATGTAGTGGTGCACACTTGTAATCCTGGTACTCAGGAGATTGAGGCAGAAGGATTACAAGTTCAAGGCTAGTCTGAACTATATAAGCAAGACCCTCACTTAAAGTCTGGCGTGGTACACACCCTTAATCCCAGCTCTTCAGAGACTGTAAGATCCAGGCCAGCGTGATCTATATAGCAAGTTCCAGGTCAGCTGTGGCTACAGGGAGACCCTGTCTCATAACAAACCAAACAAACCCCTCACTTAAATAAAAAGAAAAACCTGCTTTTTCAGGAACTATGATTAGAAAAGAAGTAAACTTGCTCAGATTTTAGGATTAAAGGGGTGTGAATTTGGGAATGGACAGTCTTGAACATTTTTACAGAATTTCCAAAACATTGAAATAAAATTGGACCTGTCTGAAACTACAGAATCTTGGAGCAATAGTAAATCCCTTGTGTTTGGGTGACACATCTGCCTACAGCAGACCTGTATGCACCTATGCTCCTTAAGCATTTGATAATATTTGTGAAACTTAATTTAGTAGGTAACCTTTTTTCTTTTGGGGCCTG